CTCGGGTTTTATATTTGCGATATGGAAAATCAGCTTAAAGTCTACCGACATTCGTTACCGGTACGTCTATATCGTGGACAGTTAATGGCGCTGGAAGAATTACAATTATTAAAAAAATCAGAAAATCAGTTAATTTCAATGAATTCCTTTCTTTCAACAACTATGAATCATAAAGTCGCAAGTTTTTATCTCGGTTCACCTGATAGTGAAAGCGACTTGCAAAAAGTTTTATTTGACATCGATGCCGATCCAAATCAAGATGGTATCAGATCATTTGCTGATGTATCAAATATGAGTGAGTACCCAGACGATGAAGAAGTATTAATGATGTTAGGATCAGTCTTTCGTTTGAATGGTGTTAATATGGATGATAATAAAATATGGCGTCTTAAAATGAGTTTATGTAGTGAGAACGATTGTGATTTAAAAAATATTTTTCATCATATGACAAATCAATATAGCTTGAAGAATACTAGATTAACCTTATTTGCAAGTGTTCTTATTGATATGGCTAATTTTGATGATGCTGAAAAATATTTACGTCGACTTTTGCAACAAATGGTCATTCATTCTATAGATATTTAGGTATTATCTACACTGAACACAGAAATTACTCTAAAGCGTTGCATTATCTTATGAAAACATTGGATATTAAAAGGAAATGTCTTCCTGATGGACATCCTTGTTTGGGAAATACATACAATAATCTTGGTAATGTGTATTATTACCTTCGTGAATATGATAAAGCACTAAATAACTATCAATTAACATGCGAAATTTTTAAAAAATCTCTTACATCTCGACATCCTTCAATCGCAAGAGCACTAAGAAGTATAGGTATTGCTTATGAAGCTAAAGAACAATATACGAAAGCTAAAGCATATTATGAAGAAGCATTTCGCATTCGTCATGCTATTTTTTCTTCATCACATTCAGATTTAATTGAAATTAACAAAGATATTAAGCGTGTATCATTAAATATATAATGAGAATCTTATCGTATAGTATAGTAAGTATGGAATACTCAAAAAACAAAGACTATTTTATAGCGAAGACAAAACTCTACTGTTAATTTTGTTTATGGCATGCTTACAGTGGATTTGAGTGTGAGCTAAATGTTCAGAAAAAAACACATATACCCCGCTTGACGCATCCCCACCCCTCAGCTTTATTTGAGTAAAATAAAAGAGATACTAAAAAAGTATACGGCTATTAAGTCAATGTCATAATATATATGAAAGCAAATAGAAGAAAAAGATTCCAATATGATATCAGCAAATAAGTAGTAACCATAGTCTCATCCATTCTGTTGTGTCGCACGGGTTAGCATAAACAAACTATTTATATGAGACTTCGTACAATCGCTGTTCGAGTTCTGAAAAGTTTATCCGCTAGTCTTTGTAGATTTTTGCTTGCATTCTCTCGATCCACTTCGCATTTATCGAATGGTTTCTTGATTTCCAACAAGACGCCTGTTAGTATCGTGTTAGTTTTACAAATACTATCCAATGTTTCCTGAATTTTGGATCTCATATGCAAACCAGTCCAAAGACTACTGAACACGACATTAAAAACCAGATTATCCAGGTTTATATTCAGATTATCAATATTTCGGATATTTGGGTAAAGATGCTTTGCCTCATTTATTAATCTTTGTGCCTTAGCTGAGGCATTTCGAGCTTGAGCAAAGTGGGAACTGAAGGCGATTTCGGAAAATGAAAAAATCAGACAGCAAATCGAACATACTTATTTTCAGTGCACGGTCGAACTCTTGCTGAGAAATATCAATAGCTTGATGGGCTTTTTCAAGGTAATGAATGACGCGAGTCAACATGTGATGAGTGTCAACAAGAATGGTTAAATTCGACTTTTCCATCTTCAAATTTTGTTCTATTAAAATTTCATCTGGATAAGATGATGTAACATCAGAAAAGACATTCTCAAATAATTGCTCCAGTTCTTGTTTGGTCTTCGTATGCACTTCATGGTCATTTTCACATTTATGCAAATATTTCTGTGCTGAATCGATTTCTTCTTTGCATTTTTCGAAGTCTTTCAACCATGCTGTCTCGTGTTCACTTAATTGTTGTTCTAGCTTACCTAATATCTTATACCAAACATGTTTAACACTGTGTCCCTTAATATCGATTAAGCGATGATGCTCTGTGTCGGCTTCCGCGTTAAATAAATCGATATTGTCTTGTATCAGATGAACTTGATGTTGATAATCTATTAACCGAGACTGCGCTATTGGCAGTGCACTTTCACTCCAGCTAGTGTCAAGTAAACGAGCAAATAGCGCACGAAATCTTTCACTTTCATGCTGTACATGCTCTTCAAACAACGTCATTTGACTTCGTGTCTCTTAACGCATGAAATCAATTCGGTGATGTTCTTCTCTAAAATGAATGAACACTTGAGTTTTACACATCAACATTCTCATCAAGTCTTTTACGTCTTCTCTATCACAAAAGCCGTATCTTTATTTGTTTTCTTTTTTATTTCTAACCATGGCGTTTTACAATGTGATAACAGTAATATTGAAAATGTCAACCTCGGTATGACAAAATATAAATAATCTTTTCAAGTACCACCACAGATAAGTTTTCAAATTTACTTTCTAATTTTTTGGCAATTAAAAAGACTAAGCTTCTTATCTCATGAAAATCTGTCGGACATTGATTCTTATGTGCTCCAATCCTATTCAAAAAAATATCCTCTTGTTTATGGTAAGATTCCATTTTCTATTTCGTGAGTGTAACAACAGAGTGCCCGGTGGTGGCGCGACTTCGAATACATAATATTTATTATCTCATTTAACCATGAAACGCATTTTAGATGCGATCGAACAGCACCTATCTACAAGACGCCATCATATTCGTCGATTTCATACGCTTGCTAATGCTCGAGGGTTCCACTTACGCGCCTAATGCAATCCGAGTTTTTCTTACGTATAAATATAATGTATGTGCGCATGTTTCTACGTAATTAGTGGTACATGCATACGATACTCATCTAAAGGAATATAAATACACCTCAGATTATGAACGAAACGATGGTATTCTCTTTGAAAATGGACGAGATTCGTCTAATAAGTTATTTAGATGATGTAATAAAGTTCTGTTACATCCAGTATTCTTAAAAATCATTATTCCTGATAATCGATCATTGTTAATTGTCAACGTGGCCTCTAAGCATTGCGTAAAATATATCAGAATACATAGCTACAATCTAGAAAAATTGAGAACGTCTGAGTCTGCTTTACGAAGTCATGAAAATGGAATTAGTCTACAGTAGAAATGAATCGCGGTAAGATTAAACTACATACTCTATAATATAAACAGTCTCTTCTTATTGAATAAAGAATAATTTGACAATATCGTTTTTACGCATATAATCGTTCATAAACAGTTAGATTAACACGCTTCAACGCATTCAAAAGCGAGCTACACATCGAAATCCGTCAATGTTGAAAGTAAAAATGATTTGCTTTGTGGTGATCGTATTCTGGTACTTTAATTTTTGCCACCTAGAAAGTTATGGAATTTCAATCTCTGTATTTCACTGCAGAATCGAATTCTGGTATTTGTTTTTCATTCCTTCCATGAAGATCCAACCAAGTTGTGCTTACTAAAATGTATAACTAAGTTACCTTTGTACCGCTGTCATGTTCACTTTCTATTTATGCATAATTTATTGAAAATATTAAATGGTTCACAAAGCTGTGCGATTTATTTCAACATCATTCGAGAACGGCTAAAGAACTCGCAAAACGACCCACTCTCACTTTAAGTATTTTTATTGTTGAGTTCATGATCTATTTTGTGTACCAAAAATAAATCTCTGAGAAGATTACTTTTATTTTACACTATTTGATTATGTTTAAACGTCACTAAACGTAACTTCTCAAATGGCAGTGTTAGTATACATTTACTCTTCATGACAATGAAGAACGATTCTACATGAAACTTTAATATTTATTTGATAAAAAGCAAAATCTTTATTATTTAAAAAAATAAAGATAAGTAATTTTGTGAATTATTAATAAACACAAATAAATATTTCCTTTTTAAAAATTCACGAATATCAAATATCAAATTTGTCTATGCAGATCTTATCTTCTCGTTTCTTCAGATACCTAAAACATTTGCAATGTGATAGTGAGCGTTCTCAACCTTCAACAACATCTTATATTTTTTTATTATCGAAAAGAAAAAATATATATCAGTTAATCTTTATTGTATCACGAATTTTCGTTTATTTATCAAAGAGTTCTTCATTCTTTAATTTTTTTCTCGTTTATAAACATAAAGATTGCATTTATTTTCATTATACGAATTCGAATATCATATTGATGATCACTTTTAAAGTGAAAAGATATCAATGTCTCTGTTCTGAGAACTATCAAAATTTAAAAAGAGTTAGGCATTCGGTTTATGAAGATATAAGTAGTCTTGAACTGTATATAACTCAGAGGTACTTACGCTTGACTTACAATTGATAGTCCCACTCTGTTGCTCAAAGTATTAGAATGTTATACCATAGTTCACCATCGTACGTCGATCCGAATCCTAGACAGTGAAGTTTTCCTTTAAGTTTTTTAGATTAAACCAAATACATTCAGACGTGCTTAGTTTTCTGAACGCGTCAAATCTTATGCTAAATTCTGAGAAATACGTTGAAAGCTTAAACGTGGTTACATGAGTAACTGTTATTTTCATAAGTACGCGAAGTTAAGTTCTAAAGTCTAAGAACGGAATTGAAATTGAAAATAATGCCTCAAGAAGTAAAAAAGTTATTGGTTCCACAATACATTGGTATGTGAAAACACAACGACATATGAGCTAAGTTTCTGTAAATAACACTTCAAAAGAGTCTGTGTCAGATATCATATGTGGTCTATCATACATCAACAAAAACTTAATTGCACATCACGGCGCCTTGATATAAGATCAGTTATGACACATTCTATTAAACAGTGCACAAAATGATCTAAGGACTTCCTCGGAACTTCTCAAACACTTGTGAAATATCTCTCTACAAATACCACTAATGAGATCTAATTCATAAAGACTATTGGCATAGCATTAGTCGTGCATTAATCAATATAAGGAACAGCAGTTTATTTCCAAGATTCGTAAATAAAAAGGTATTGATGTTAGCATTGATTTGATACAATGATGATACTCTAGTATCAACAGAGAATCTCCCAAATATGCCTCAGTTTATTCTTTATCCCGTGACGAAACATCGTATTCCGACGATTTTCTAGTGGTTTTTTTTTATTTAACTAATATGTTTTGTTTCATTTGTGTTTTTATTTGCAACGTTTTAAATATTTTCAACTAGAAATAGACGGTCTATATAGTAAATTAGATATTAAAAAAATCTAAATTCTCCACCTTTCCGATTCGTTTCTTATAATAATAGTAGCAAATAGTGACACTCACAAATTTAATTCATCTTCTAACTGCTATTTATTACTCAACTGTGTGTGAAACTTCTTGATTAACCTATAAATTTTTATGACTGGCAATACTCTCAGTTGAAACTGTTGGTTTTGATTATGGCATTGGAATGAATGAGAGAACTTACATAATTATTCTTTTCATTCAAAAGAAAACATTTGTTTTTTAATTCATCAAAGACACAAAACAAATATTCAGTAGTTGATGAGGTCTCATTTCATTCATCATATTCAACTTCGAACAAATTTACATCATTTGTGCACTCAATGCCAATGCTTCCGTAAAGTCCCAGAGAGTTATTGGTAGCTCTCTGAAGACTTCCATAGGATTTGTTACGCTTTGATGGAATCTCTAAGGATTTAACTAGAAAAAGTCGACTAGAGACAAATTTCAAAGGTACCCTTCAGATACTGAAACATTGCCCTTTTAATGCGTGAGTGTTAATTAACAAACACCTATTTTGAATATATCAGTTCATTCTATAAAATGATTATTTGTTGGATTTATGGAATACATTCTACAGTTGAAAAAATTAAAAAAATATTTGTACTTGAAATGAAATACAAACTAATGCAGTTATCTCATTTCTTGAAATTGTAATTCCTCAATTCAGACATCATAGAATTTTCTTTCATCTAAACTGAGTGCCAACGAAAGATTCATATGTATAACTGTCGAAAGTAACCTTGTCAATTTACAGTAGTCGTTCAGAGACAAGCATGGGGATTTTTTCACTGTACCCTCGAAATTGTTTCTCTTTTTTGATCACAAATATTTCCATGTATCAAAGTAATTGTATTTTAAATGTGTTTAGTTCATCAGAAAGTTTAATGCAAGTTAAATATGTTCGATAAATTGATATTTCAATCTATTGATTTGATTAGGTTACAAAAACATTTCTTTTACAGTTCCAATAATATATTGAACGGCATTTTCGGTAGTATTTTGCGATAACCACGAAGAAAAAACTTTTTTATTAAAGAAAAATCTCAGATAGAAAATAGCCATGACACTAAACCATAATTTATCCTGCATTTGTGCAGGAAGATGATGTAGCATGGCAAGTATCCGTTCAATACAATAGATAATGTAATTGTCTTAAGACTAAACGCATAAATTTGAAGTTGAATCTTCTTAAGTTCAAACGAAAAATTAGACAATAGATGCTTATACTGATACAGAGTCAATCCAGTATGTGTTTTATGTTTAAGCATGATGTTATGTCTTGTAATATAGATTATTCTTTACTGAAAACAAAATGTCAAGTCTTATGTATGATTTTTGCATTCTATAATCAATTTTTTTGATAATAAAGTTTTCAATAACAGAGATCTTGAAGTCATGATTGAATTTCAATACTTCATTACAATTGACCGTATGAAATATTATTCTTCATCAAAAATCATTGAAATAAACGCCTTAACCATCGTTACTGTCTTGTATATTACAGAAATATCCATTGTTAACATAAATGAAAGTGAAAATAATAGTTTCACAGCCTTAAAAAATGTGCCAATATCCTAATTCAATTAGCCTATATGACCAAAAAAGCATATTTAATAACTATATATTATAAGATTAATTGTTTTGGATATAGGTCGTACCCGATGAAGAAAAAGAAGAAAGGAAATATCTTTAGTTATACCTATGGGGAAAAGGCGGATTTGGGATTTTTTTGGGATTTCGGGATTTTTTTGGGATTTTTGGGATTTTGAAAATCCCAAAATCCCAAACGTGAATGATGGAATTTCCATCTGAATTTTTTTCTATATGTAAGTCTCATGATCCTTAGAATAATCTAAAATTTTCAGCGCAAACGGATGTTTCCTTCTCAAGATAATGAATGCGCAAGAAATGCTCATTTCACGGCACGGTCAGAAAATCCAGTTTTTTTGAAAATTCAATATTTTAAGAAGGAAACATTTGTTCGAGTTGAAACGTTTAGGATCTTCTATGGACCATGAAACCTATATATGGGAAGAATTTCAGATCGAAGCTACGTCATTCACAGGGGGGAAAATGCTTTTCATTTTTGGAATTTTGGAATCTTTTTGGGATTTTGGGATTTTGAAAATCCCAAAAATCCGCCTTTTCCCCCTTGAGTTATACAACAATAAATAACATTGTGCGGCAAAGAAATTGATTCTTTGCAAACTTCCAAGGAAAAAGCTGTAGCATGCAGTTCTATAATTCCCTCGGAGTACATATAAGAACCTATTACTTTCATTTCACTTCGTCTATCAAGCGAGTCGAGAACTTCTCTAAAGATTGATCTCGTGGTTTCCATTTAAATAATCAGCAATGACTGTTTAAACAATTTCATATTTCTTTGTAATTAACAACGAATGAATTTTTTCATCGAATATCAAACTCTTCGTCAATAGTAAGACTTTTTAATGATAAAAAGAATGGAAAAGAAAAGAAAAGAAAAAGCAGAATAAAAGAGCAACAATGTGTACATCACGAGGCATTTTCAAATCATTCATCATCTTGCCTAATAAAAGATTGTATTTGATTTTCTCCAACCGTTTGTTTTGTAAGTTCTGCAATAAAAATATAGCTCAAGGTATCATGATTTGAAGCAAATCAGAAAAGAACTCACCGATTATAGTTGCGACGATCGAAAAATATAAGGTTTCCTCGTTTATTTTCATTAAAAAAATAGTCATTTAATCTAAACCCGGTGGAATGACCTAAACGTCATGAGACTGACAAAAAAGAAACTTCTGCAAAACAGAACTGAGATGCATTGCATTAGAAAATGCTTTTCGCTATAACAGCGAAGATTTTATCACACTTAGAAAATATGTTTGATCTTGGAAACTGTTTATTTTTTTATTAGTAAAGATTAGAATTTATCTGAATCACAAGCATAATCGTAAAAGTTTGTTCACAGAAGATTTAGTGATCACTTTGATCATGATGAAAATCATAATTGACTGCAAACTTAGAAAAAATTCTTGTGTATGGAATGCTCAGAAAGGCTTGTAGATAAACCTCGATAACTTAGTAGGTACTGCTAATTGTCCCTTCTGTCGGATCGAACTGTCATCTTTTGAAGAAGCTTTCGATTATTATTCAAGTGGTCACCAACGAACAGCTTGATAATGCAAATAAGAACTATTGTAAAGGTTACGATCTATATAATATATTAAGAAACAAGAGTCAACAAATAGAACTGCTTCAGATAAAGATATCCACGAATGTTTTCTGTAAAGAGGGCGGGAAAGTATAGATTCCAATGAGTCTAATTTAGTAAATACAATATGATGTCGGTATATGCGTTCATGTGAGGAATATAAAGAGCGAGATTGATACCTCATAAGTGATTAATGTGATTGCAATCTAAATGAAGGTATGAATGTATAATCAGCCGAAAGTAATATTCATACTAGTCGCCTTCTCGTCAAAAAAAGTTCAGTTTGTATCGAAAATACTTCAGTTTTTCATTAGCAAACATCCGTTTCTATGGTGCGGAACTGTGCGCGTAATGGTTTCATCTATATTGTAGCTTTAGTAGCAAATAAATTTGTATTCGACTAGTGGTTTTTCGCTACGAAAATATACGAATTGTTGATACTAGTAGCTTTTCTGTGATCTAACAGGAAAAAAAGATAAAATTCGACCTCAGTTTTAGAAAGAGTTTAATTGACGTATGGGCATGCATCACCTTTTTACTCTCAAATCAGCAGCTTTCGCCCATATTCACAATCGAGGCAGTGATGCGAAAAATGTTGCAAAATGTTATGCAGTCCTAGAAATCAAGCTGATCTCCTATTAATAGAAAGCGCAAAGTGCAACTAAACAATAAATTACGAATGTTTTTATTTAATTTTTTCTTTGAAGTTTTGCAATCGACTTTCGAACAAATGTTTTTTTCATTAACACTTTATGGTATTGTTTAGGAAAGCTATTTTCCTTTTCAAATTTTAACACCGCAATTTAAACATTTACACTACAATACAAAGGTTTTTTTCTTCCATATGCAGATGCGTGGCATTAACAAACTATTTTTTCTCTGTATGTCCTTTTCGAAAATTCTTATCAGCCACATATGAGAATATTCAAAAGACTCGCTAGCCAATGTGTTATTTCTAATATTTCTACTGGAATATTGCTAAGACAGTAAACGCTCCTGGATTATAGTAATAAATCAAAGCATGCTTTTCTCAAAGTTTCATCATAGTTAATCTTTTTAATCAAGTTGGAACTTCGTATTCGTAATTTTTGACCATATGTTTGTGCCATTCACGAATAGCAACCATTTGCAATTCTATCATTTCACATTTGCTTACCGTTTCAATGTTTTTATAAATATCAGCCGGTTTAACTGATTTCTTTCCTTTTGTTTTCATATTTATCTTTCCATTTTTGAAGATCTTCCATCAACTTGTGGTTTACTTTGCACGGAATCTTTTCATCACAGATATCTTCTTCTTCTTCTTTAATCATTCTTGTCCAACCTGATAAGAATGGATCAGTTTCTGAGTTAACACTCGATACCAACAGAAAATGAGCAAATGCAACGCTCGCTTTAAACAAATCATCAAATAACGTGATCAGCTCGGCCTCAGACCTGCTCAGTGACTTATTGGAGCATTTATATTCAAGTATATAATCAATTGGAGAATGATCAGAAGGATCACATTGACAAGTTCTACATTTATTATTTATAGAGACATGTGAATTATCCATATTAACCCAAAATTCAGCAACTTGATGATGTTGACGGGGACATTTTAAACATAGTCCTGTTGGGTTTGTAATAGTTGATGCATGTAATTTTATAGACATATCATGTGGTTCTTTATTCCATAGAATAAGATTGCGAAGAATATTTCGCATTGATTCTAACATTGGTCGAATCATTAAATTTATTTTGAGTTGTGCTTGCTTCAGCGAGACTGATTCACTTGGCATAATATTTGTAGACATTTTTTCGATGATTTTCCCCAACGCTCATTGCATTCTTGTCGGTCAGCGCTCTTGAAATCGATATTATTAAGTCTTGCCATTAAATAACGAAATGATTCATTGTCAAAACAATAAATATTATCTTTTCTAAGAGGGATTGACTTGCCTGGAAGTGATTTAAGTAAAACTGTGAGCGGAGTTATTGTATTACCTGGTGTATAAAATGATGGGCGTGTATTGGTAAAACCAAATACAATTTTTTCACAGACATTTTCACTCAATATATCGATCAACTCCATGAAACATGAACGAAAAAAAACATGAAGTCTTGCGATATTTGGTTTTAGTAAGATACAAATAGCATTTAAATGTGTCAAATTATTTATATATAATAAAATATTCTGTAGATTTGCGTCATCTTGAGAAGAACCGCGTGTATCTCCAATACCAGGAGTGTCAATAATTTGTAATTTACGTTTACAAGTTTCATTATCAGTTAGGGTGAATACATATGATTTACAATGTTACGTTACCGATTGACCAATTTGTTTATGATCTTCGTCACTTATACCATCTTTTCCCTCGAATTTTACCAAGTGTTCTTCAAAATCATCGCCTGTTGTAATAAAAAGTGACACAGGTATAAGTACAACAGGATTTTTCTCAGCTTCCTCAAGTTTATTGTATTTCAAATAGTTAACAAAAGCATTGATGAAAGTCGATTTACCAACACCAGTTTCTGCAAGAAGTAAAATATTCATGATATCCTCCTGCTCTTGTTGTGTTGGTGGTGTTAATACTAGTGGTAGCGGAATATTTTCACCGTTCTTTTTTTCAGTTTGATGTAATGCCTTAAAATCATTCAATTGGTATGAGAACAATCAGAGAAGTCAGCGTAGACTAGTAGTAACTCAGGGTCTTTCTTGGTCTGCTTCAATAACTGATCACGATGAGTACGCCATCGTGAATACTGTTTTTTTGTATAAATCGTCATTAGAACAGATCGCAATTGTTCGATTCTCAGAAATCAAAAGCTTATGTTCAAGAGCTTGTTCATCGTCCCAATCTCGTACGTTTTGATTGAGCGCATTTTGATATTTAAATCCCTTTTCTAACAAATCTTTGATAAATTTGTTCCTTTTGGTTCAATACTTGCAGGTGAATTGTATAATTTTCTATCATCTGTGTCAATTTTTTATCTTCATCATCAATTAATACATCAGGAATCGTATTCTGATCGATTTCACTGCGACGAGCACGAACTACTAAATCTCGAACTCGAAGCACTCGATTTGTGTACGCCGTTTCTAATTCGTTCCAGCTTGTTCGCTCGTCATCAAGTTTGACACTATGCTGTTGGAGATTTGGATAATTTTGATTCAATGCTTTTTTTATTGTCTTAAACTTCATTGATAGTTAAACGAAATAAGATTCAATCATAAAGACATTGTCATGTCGTAATTCAATAAATTTAGTTGGATGTGCATCAATCGTAGCGTAAAAATGTTCAATTGGATAAAGACTGTAATTATATGGCTGGTGAAGGCTACTATCAGACTTCACTGACTGAATAACGGAGTGGAAATCCAGAATCGAATCGATTTTATCGGGTTCAGATATATTGGAAAAGACTTCCACACGAAGAATTTTTGTTAGACAATTTTCGTCTTCTTTGGAGAATTTTAGGCTATTCTGACCCTTTCTCAAAGACCAACATATTTTTTGTAGTACGTAATCAATTGCCTCAGTGTATGTATCATTGGATAGCAATCGTAAAATAACGGTTGCATTGATTCCCCAATTAACAAGAACAATCATATGAGAAGCAAAAGTATCTGGTTTTGGCAAGGTGAGCTTCTTCGATGACTTGAATACTTCGTCTACTAAATACTCTGTTCGACTATAGTAAGTGTACGCAATAAAGCGAGTATATTTATCGACTGGATGAGAATAGTTAATTAATTTACCTATCCCATTTGTAACAGTCATTCGTAAAATGACACTCAATCGTAATTCATCATACATATTTTCAAGTTTTAGAAGATTGTCGGGTGGGAACTATACTCAATGGACATCTCAAAATATGTATTCAGATCATGTATTCGTCCTCACTGAATATCGTACATATAATCAACTTTTCAAATTTTCACTGGTCACTCTTACTTATCAAATAGATCTCTCGATCAACATAACGTGTACTTCCGCTTCCCTAGAAATCACTATTTTCTTTCAAGAACTATTAATTCGAACATACTTTGTAGATCTTTTTATTCAGCTGGATCGTATTTTTGCATGAAGCAGTCCGGCTGCTTGCGGCAAAATCATACAACCAACCTACCCGTCCGTTTTGATCAACAGCTTGTCATGGCCTAAAAGGAGGTGTCCTGCTTGCCGCCTTTGGATTGCAGTTTGGGTCACATGTTGGTAAAGGAGACGGTAGTTTAGACATTGCAAAAAAGAACGAATTCTTTTCTACAAGCAAGAAAATAATGGAGCGATTTAATTTAGTATAAGCTTGATTCAACAGCGATAAATTTATTAGAAAATTTACTTAAATCAGATATAAAATGAACAAAGATTCAATATTCAAAGAGATCTCACAAAACTCACAAAGGATATGAAGAGCGCTCGAATGGTTGTCAAAATATATTTGTGTCTTTTTCTGCTGAGCTTATGATCTTGCAAGTACCAGAATATTAATAAGACTTAAGTCTTATCGAATACTTATTTCCGTATACTTGGCTACAGTTTAGATGGATTTTGATTGCTGGAAATCCATTGAGCTTGCATGCAATCGACTGAGAGAATCCTGTCGGAAAGATACTTTTGAGTGTTCGAACTAGTAGTGATCGCTTGAAGTATTGACATTTTTCGAACACTGGTTAAAAATAATCTATCGCAAGAGCATTTCTGAACACTGAGAATGAATTCAATCACTTGATATCCATCGGATTTTTGAGTACTCGATGAAAATGAATCTAGTCAAAATAAGAATTCTCATTAATTAGTTCGACTTCGAATAACCGAAATCCTGTAAATTCTCAACTAAGTTGCAAGATTGAGTTTACTGAAGGAATTCTTCTGAATATTGAATTTAATTTTGATCGTCGGCATTTGGTTGCACAGAAATCTCTCATACATTTTATATTTCTTATCTGAAAAACATGCTAAAACTAAGCTTCTATCAAGAACAAAATCAGTAATGTGAGCTCATGAAGTCGTTATTATTAGAGGTTTTGTTTTAGTTAATGACGTTGGATGAAAAAGTACCATAAAAATATTAACTTATATTTATCCTAAGAGTTCGTCATGGATATTAACTGAAACTATAGTCTTTTCGTCCTACAACTAGTAACTGCATCATGTCTTAAATAACATTGATATTTGATATCTATGGAAGACTATCTTAATGGAATTTGGCTACTGATTTTCTTTCAGAAGTTTGAATTCTGCACCGAAGGCTTTCAATACTTTGATCATTTTCGTCGAATATATTTTTTAGTATAGCATACGGCATGTAATTAAATGCTCAGTAATATTTAGTAATTGCTCAGTAAAAATTATTTTTGCACAGTAAATAATTTGAAATCTCAGTAATAATTTAAGAAAAGATTCAGTATTAAGCCATTTTTTGCTCAGTAACTATATTTTTTTCTAAAAAGGGAACATCATATACTTATACATGAGTTACTATACTGAACAATTTATTATTTAACTGAGCAAGCAAAATAATTACTGAACATAAAATTTTTTACTGATACTTTTACATTTTTACTGGAGAATTGAATAAAATACTGAGCAAGTTTTATACAATTTCATTAAATATTACTGTGGAAAAAATTTGTTCCCATAGCATACCTGACATTTGTTTATCTTAGTATTCATCTGATGAATTTTCTTTTAAATTTAATTTGATTCTGAACGTATTTTAAAATTAATTTTAAAAATTTGTAAAAGACTTTTACGATGAAATCAGAAGAAAATACCTTAAGTATGATCATGCATTAATACAAAATAATCTTCTTATTGAAAATAATAAATGATACTTTGTTTGCTTACTCAAGTCAAGATCAACAATCGTTAGTATTCATGTACAACCCTCAGTTTGGCATTTATGTCATTACTTTCGATTATTTCAAAATAAAATCCCTAATATGTCATATCCTTTTATTTTTTTAAGAATTCTTGCGCTCAAAACCCCTTAAAAAGTGTTTTGTTTGATGGACCTTAGAAATTCAGACGGAGGAGTTGGTATAATCGAAAAAGTCGAACACTTCACTATAAGACTAACACTTTTGGTCTCTCTAACTCATCACAATCTATTATTCTAGTGGTCATATAAAATTAATCATCAAGACCCATTGAACATTTTCACTTCTGCTATTCTATCGGAAATGTCGATGTTTACTGTGGGGTCTACGCATTGAAATACTCGCTGAAAAGCAGCTTGAATCACATGTTCTTCTCAAAAGAAATTACAGTTCGTATTTAGTTTAAGCTGTTACCGCAAAACAAAATACTTAAAAAATTATAATGTTTTCTGTCAACCTGTGTATTCGTATTCTTGTTTGTAGTTATGTACTAAAAAATAAACAGACTGCAATAATAATATTCCTATCACCAAATTTCAACACTCAGTTTTCTCGTTGTCATCGGACATTATTTTTGAAAACTTCTCTCGCTTTAAAAATACATGTAGAATGAAAATAATTGCGTCCATATTGCGATAGAGATTAGGATTCTTTATTACGTCGTATATTTTTCTCTTGACTTATATATGTTGTGGCCGAAGTTAGAATTCAGCCCTATTCTAAATTCGTCCAGACGAAGTTGGAATTCTAATTTCGTCTGGACCAAATTGGAATTCTAATTTCGACTGAAATGTTTATGGACGAAATTAGAATTCTAATTTCGACTAGACCAAATTGGAATAATTTTTTAATGAATAGAAAAAAGTGAAACCTTGATAACCATTGAGAACCAATTTAACCTTGTCTGTCTTTTGATTGTTTCTTTCTTCTTTTCTAATCTAGTTAAACAAAGCGGGCGAACAAATGAGAAGAGAATATTCTAGTGAGCAGTGATTGCGTGAACAAACAGTATAAAGGGTAAGCCAGAAGTCCTGACTCGATTTGTATAATAAATTTTTCTATAGTGAAACACATGGTTGTAAATTTGTTTCTATGAAGAAAAGATGCAGTAAAAGACGCTCTACAAAATGACTGTTGAATGACCCCGCTAGCTAATGTAGTAAGAAAGTTATAAGCTTAGAAATGTGCTTCACAAAAAATAAAAATTAACCGTGAACTCGGTCTATATGATGGTGCTTCCAGTAAAAGTCCCATAACTTCATCAGAACAAAAGGTTTTTCGATCAGGTTTGTTTTGTTTTGATCAGAAATGATTACTCTTCTCTAACTAGCTACACCATCAAAGCTTCGATCACGTTTTCCGTTTCTTGCTGAGTACATTGTCGGAAACGAGGTTATCGGATTTTTCACGTAGTTTTGAAACTTGCATCTCGAACACACTATCTGCTCGAAAAAAATTTTTTAAACACGATGAGAAAGAGTACATCTGAAAGTACCAAACTCAACTGAGTTCTCACTTTTACTACGCTGTTTTACGGAAATAATAGGAAAAGAAAAAGTTCAAGTGAAACACAATACCAAATTTGCAGAGATTTTATATTTTTCGTCTCATATATCATTTGCTTAGTTTTCTTGATTGAAGTTCTGGAATTAAAGTTTAAGTATGATTTTGTAGAGAATGTCACAACGCTTCTATTAAAAAAGAATTTATTCCAGGAAACGTAAGGAACAGGAGTCAAAGCAAAAATACCGAAACCGAGTTCACGGTTAATTTTTATTTTTTGTGAAGCACATTTCTAAGCTTATAACTTTCTTATTACATTAGCTAGCGGGGTCATTCAACAGTCATTTTGTAGAGCGTCTTTTACTGCATCTTTTCTCCATAGAAACAAATTTACAGCCATGTGTTTCACTATAGAAAAATTTATTATACAAATCGAGTCAGGACTTCTGACTCACCCTTTATACTGTTTGTTCACGTAATCACTGCTCACGAGAATATTCTCTTCTCATTTGTTCACCCGCTTTGTTTAACTAGATTAGAAAAGAAGAAAGAAACAATCAAAAGACAGACAAGTTTAAATTGGTTCTCAATGGTTATCAAGGTTTTACTTTTTTTCTATTCATTAAAAAATTATTCCAATTTGGTCTAGACGAAATTAGAATTCCAACTTCGTCTGGACGAATTTAGAATTGGGCTGAATTCTAACTTCGGTCACAACATATATATATATGTGTGTGTATAGCTTTGACTGAACGAAAAAATGTGTGGTGAACTTAAGGAAGTGTACACTTTCGAGAGGTTATTCATTCAGTCGGGAACGAAAAAAAGTGTCCATAGTTCAGAATAAGGAGGTGTCCACATTCAAGAGGTTCCTTTCCAGCAAAAATTGCTCGGGTGGACTGAGGAGTGTCCACAATTCAGAGGTGTCCATATAGGGAGGTTTTACTGTATGATATAATGAGAGGTAGACAAGTGATCTTTTGCAGTATTTCACGTGAAATTTGTACATAAATATATACCATTGTAAATTTTATTGTATTATTTTCTTTTAGATATTTTGATTTTCTTTTTTAAATAAAAAAATTTATTTTATTTAATGGCTTCTGGTAGTGAAGAAAAAAAATCATCTTCAAAACCAACAGAACAAACATCAAAAGATGAATTTGATATTGATGATTCTCAATATATTGATAATACTAATAATTTATTAGATGAATCTCCTGAATTTTCATCATCTTTTGCAAATAATCCTTCATTATCATCAGTTGATTCAATAAATGATGTAACATTTCATTCAAAAACATTATCATATAATTTAAGGTAATTATTTTTAAACAAAAAAATAATAATAATCATATATGTATATGATTTAGAACAACGTCGCGATTAACTACAGAATCAATTAGTTTACAACCAACAAATATGACAACATTACATGAACTTTGTCATTTCTTAGGTGGATCACATGTGATTAATAAAGTAAAATTTGTTTTCTTTTTTTTGTATCAATAAAAATAAATATTTCTTTTTTGAAGATTCTTATTGCAAATAATGGTATTACAGTTGCTACATATATGCGTTTAATTCGACAATGGTCTTATGAAATGTTTCAACAAGAAAAAACAATTAAATTTGTTGTTATGATTACACCAGAAGATAGAAAAGCTAATGCTGGTTATAGATGTTATTTTCAATGTATAAAGAAAAGATTTTGGTTTTGTTTATTTTAGAATATATTCAATATGCTGATGAATATGTTGATGTTGTAGATGGTCCATCACATATGAATTATTCAAATTGTGAATTTATTCTTGAAATTGCTAAACAATTTTGTGTACAAGGTTTGTTTGTTTTATTTTCAAATGAAAATTATATTCGATTTTAAATAGCTGTTTGGACTGGATGGAATCATCCATTAGAAAATCCGAAATTATCTGAATTACTTCGTCAACATGGAATAATATTTATTGGTAAATTATTCGATTTGTTTATTCTAAAAATATTTTATAATGACTTTTTCTTCTTTAATAATGAAAATAGGTCCATCAGAAAAAACTATGTTAATATTAGGTGATAAAATAACTTCGACAATTATTGCTCAAAATGTTGATATACCAACATTATTATGGAGTGGATCTAGTAATTCAAAAATTTAATGCATTGTCTTAAAATTTTTTCTTTTATTTTTTTTTTAGATCTTAAAGTTGAATGGAATGAAAAAGATCTTGAGAATATTAATATTCCAATAGATATATATGAAAAAGCATGTGTTATTGATGCAAAAGAAGGTGTAGAAGTAAGATTACATTTTCGTTGTTGTTATTTGAAAAATAGAATTTTGTTTTTTTTTTTTTTTAAATTCTTAGATTGCTAGTCGAATTGGTTTTCCAGTAATGATTAAAGCATCAAAAGGTAGTGGAAAAAATGGAATACAAACAGCAACAAATCGTCATAATTTCCAACACTATTTTCGACAAGTAAATTTTAATTGGCATTTTTTTTTTCTTTGATTTTTTTTCTTTGAATTTTAGATTAAAAAAGATATTCCAAATTCACCAATACTTGTAATGAAATGTGTAGATAATTGTCAACGTTTAGAAATACAAATAATTGCTGATCAAAATGGACATATAATATCATTTTTTAATCATAATTATTCAATTCAACAACAACATGAAAAATCTATTGAAGAAACATCAAGAATTTTACCACCACCAAAAATTCTTGAACAAATGAAAAAAGGAGCTATACGTTTAGCAAAATTAATTGGTTATGTTGGGTTAGTTTTATTTTTTTTTTAATGTTATATTTTAAAATAAATATAATTTAGTGTTGGTACAATTGAATATTTATATAATTCAAATGATGAAACATTTTTCTTTCTTGAAATTAATCTACGATTAAAAATGGAACATTCTTTTATAGAAATGAATACAAATATTAATTTACCAGCATGTCAAATACAGGTATTAATTTTTTATTTCGAAATATTTAATCATATGAGATAACTTTTAAAGAGTTGAATTATTTTAATTATCTTCTAGAATTTTGAGATAGAATTCGATAAGAATAAAAGATTAAAATTGATAAAATGTAAATATTATTTGTGTATCTAGATTATTTTTATATATTTAATAGAGAGAAGAGAAAAAGAGAGATGATGAACTATGATTAAGATCTTTATTGTTCAAATATTTATTATTCTAATCATTGATTAGAAGTATACAAGTTTTATAATTTTCATTCTTTTTTTTTTTTGTTATTTCTAAAGCGTTATTAATTTCTTTTTTGTTTTATTTATTTTCATTATTAGATTGGTATGGGTATTGATTTACATCGAATAAAAGATATACGTTTATTATATGGTAAAGATCCATTTGGTCAAACATCAATAGATTTTGAAACTTCTCATTTTAAATCTCAATCATCTGATGAAGGTACTCCAGTACATACATCCAATGAATATTCTGATAAAGTAAATATTAAAGAAGAAAAAATAAAATATAAATCAAAATTGAATTATTTGTAAATTATTTAGAATTATCAAACAAGTTCAAATACAATTCAAAAATCAAAATTGCATAGTCAATCAAGTGATTCACGTAAATTTGATGATACAGAATATGAACATATTATTCTACATGATGAAACTCCAGAAATTATTCAAAAGTTTGTTTAATGAAATATTTATTTTTTTATGAAATATATAATTTTTTTTTTCTCTTGATATTTTATAGTAATCAACAAGCATCATCTGAAACATCTCGAAAATTTCATTTAAATTTTTATCAAGTGCTTATTCATAATTACTTTTCAGAAAATGAAAAAAAATCTATTCGAGAACGTTTTAATGAATCTAAGCAATTCCTTGCAAATTTTCTTTCATCTAATCAACGATGCATACAAGCATGGTCAAATATAGTGAATGGTGCATATGAAAGAATTACAATAAATTCCACACTATTAGAACAAATGGAAAATTTCTTCAAACCATCAACAATGTCAACAGGAACACTTGAAAAATTAATTTCAAATAATATGATTATCGCTATCGTCCATCCAACAGCAAAATTTGATCCATCAATATTAGATCCGAATCGTACAAAAGAATATGCAACTACAACACAATTCGAAAAGAAAGCTGCAATTTGTATAAATCCAATGGTCTTTGATCTTGATACAACAAGTAAATATTTTATTATTATTTTTTTTAAATAGAAAATTTTGTTTTATTTATTTTAGGTTATGGTAGTCCTATTTCTGCTGAAGCATCTAAATTCTTCTTGGCAATTCTTTTAATGCATGAAATTACACATGCTGTACGATATTGTAGTCCAACACAAAAGGAAACACCACAATTAACATTGTTCAGTACTTACGATGATCCAGATAAATACGATGCTGGTAATGCTCTTCAACATGAACTATTTGCTGGTGAACTTCATATTAATCGTGATTCTGCTAGTACACATGTCAAATTATTTATTATTAGATCAAAAAATCGATATATTAAACTTTCACCATCAGATATTAATGATTGTTTAACAAATTATAGTTTGGCATCATTACTATCATTGGTACAGCGTTCTGCCTTAAAACGAAAACATAAGGATCGAAATAAAAAACTTCATATGAAATATTTTGAACCATTTAATAATGCAAAAAATGAAGATAATCAA